CATTTGCCCATATTTGCAAAAAATAATATTTCAAACAATAGTGATCAAAACTAAACAAAAATTTTAACTTCTCAAACAGTAACTCTTACAAATACAAATTACACAATTTCATATTTCTTTAACAAATTATTTTTATCATTTTAAACAAATTTATTGAGCCAGCATTTTTACAATCATCATCCAGATTATTCCATAATCTTTATTTCACTTCCTGAAGTACATATGTCCTTTAAATTTGTTCAAATTTTAGGTTTTGCAAAAAGTTCTAGTCTTTTAAGATTATACCAATTTTCCTTCTTCACAAAATTTGATTGAATGTTCAAAGGTAATACATTTTTATGTGCCTTATACATAACTTGTATAATATTATAATCAACCAACTCATAAAACTTTAATAATTTCAATTCATGAAATAATATATTTGATAAGTTCTGTAAACACAAATAAAACCTACAATTTGAGTCAGTTTGACAGATATCGAGCCAATCTTTTGTGTGGTTGAGAGTAATAACAAATTGTGAAAAATCTTTGCATAAAAGTTAAACCTGCGAGCGGGTGGGTGGGGTTGTCCGTCACTCTGGCTTAAACGTCATCAAAACACTTTAGCTAAAGTCCAACCAATTCCTGTGTTGTTCTGTCCCTATAAATAAATAAATGAAAATGGAACACAATTCTTTGCCAAGTCTTTTTCGTCAAGCCTTTCTAAGAAATTCATGGACGGAGGAGAAATCAGGTTAGAAACGAGACGACATCAGTGAGCGATCCATCCCTCAAGAACAGATGCACAGTGGAGCAAAACTCATTTCCATCCTCGTTAGCTGCTTTCTAAACGGCATTTAAAATGAGCTCCATTTTGTCTGGCCTACTTTCTGCGCTCGCTGAGGTGCTGTAATAGCTTTCCTTTTACAAGATACATACACGAATCATACAGATTAACTATCCTAACAAGCCCGGAGGTTTTTGTAGTTAGTTTCCAGCCTTCGAGATAAAAACTCAGACGCTAAAGATTTGAAACAGGAAGCGACTCAACCCTTCAGGTTTTAAATCTGTACTCCTTTTTAGAGATATTTGGTGTGTGTGTGTGTGTGTGTGTGTGTGTGTGTGTGTGTGTGTGTGTGTGTGTGTGTGTGTGTGTGTGTGTG